TTTCCTGGCGGTGCGGGCTGCCTGGCGGCTGCCCTCGGGCTCCCCCTCGGGGCCCCTCTTCTGGGGCCCCTCTCTTGGGGTTCCTCGCTTGGGGTACACCTCCGGCCCCGGAAAGCAGCGGTGTGGTAAGGGAGTGGAGACCTCAACCCGGGCGAGGAGCACCTTGGGGCTGCGCTGCCACGCCCCCGGGGCTGCAGCCTGTCCACCTGGGCTCTGCCGCCTGCATCCAGGCTCTTAGTTTGAGATGCTGGTGTTGCACTGGAGGCAAAATTCACAGACCGCCTGTGATGCTGCGAGGGGTTAACTTTCAAGTACCTCCAGACAGCGGCTGTCCCTGTGGCAAAGTCTTCCTGCTCCTTCCCTGTCCAAATCTGACCCTATCCAGCAGCTCCCTTGGGACATCCCAGTACTGCCCTGCACAGTGTGCACACACAGAAAGAGGAAAGCATGGGCTGCTGTTGAAGGCAGGGTGTAGCCCTGCATGTGGGCTGCAGGGTGGGGGCTGGATGCACCCACTGAGCCTACCACTCTGGATCCTTCACCAGCCCCCAGGGTAGCATCATCTCCTGCCACAGTGCAGTGGCTGCAGTGTGGGGCTACCATGCAGAGGGGCCCAGTCTGGGCACACGGTGGCAGCTGGCAGTGAGTGTATGTCCTGCTCTGTGCTGGGCTCTGCCTGGTACAGTGGCACAGGGATACTGCAGTTGGCTGCATGGGTCTGCACAATCCCACAGTGACTTGCCCTGACTCTCTCTGTCTCACCAGCATCCATCAGCTGAGGAACAAGGTGTCAGAGGAACATGAGGTCATCAAGAAGAAGGAGCTGGAGACTGGCCCCAAGGCCTCCTATGGCTATGGCGGCAAATTTGGAACAGAGCGGGACCGAATGGATAAGGTAACAGTTGTAGAGGGCTTCCCTGGGCCCCAGTGGAAAAGTCTTTTTCTCATAAAGGAAGGAGCATCTCTGTTTTCTGGCCTGACCCTGAAGGGAGAGAATGGAGAACTGGCATGGCTGCAGAGATTCACACATGTCTAGCTAGCCCATAATCTCTCTCCAGAATCTGTTTGAACCCATTTGTATAATTTGTCTCTACAACTTCCTTGCAACACTCCCCTTAACTGTGAAGAAGCTTGTTTCAAATCTGCTGCATAACAATTACATCAGGTGCCTCCCTACTTGTGCTTGGAGAACTAATGAATAATAATTCCCTCCTCACATTCTCCATTACAGACCTCTGTCATATCTCCCTGGGATGAAGCCCTAGTTCATATTCTCTGTTCTCATGTCAAATCTGTTTTGTGTTTTCTGATAATCATCATGATGATGCTTCCTGTACCTTTCAGCATTTAATACTTCTTTTTTTTTCAGAAGTGAGATGATAAGATTGTAGTAGTATTCAATATATGGGGTCACTGTGGGTGTGTATGATACCAGGATGTCAGGGTGAGAAACAGACATTTCCAGGAGGCCAAATGGAGCAGCCATGCTCAGACCCTTCTGCCAGAGCAGAGTGAGGATGTTTTTGTTGAGCAGCTCCTGGGCCTTCGTCCAGTCTTACCAGGATGTTGCAAACGTTCAGCCTCTGGCCCTTCTGAGGAGTGTGTGCAATTCCTGGCCACACCACCTCCTGCAAGGAGCAGCAGGACCCTGGCCTGGCCTGTGGTAGGCGTAAAGAGTGATCCCAGCCAGGTCTGCTGACCCTCACTCTCAGACACAGAAAATAGGGAGCAGGTGCCAGACCTGCTGCCTGTGGGTTTTCAGTTGTGCATGCCTATCCGCACTTTTTTCCTCAGTTTCCCCATGTGATTATCCACCACTCTACTTCACTGGGATTTGGGAGCAGCAGGTATTCAGCATCCCACGGTTTGCATGATGAGCTGGCAGTGGGGCCGGTTGTGTGGGATGGCTGCCCTTGAAGCTGCATCACAGGTCTCAGAGCAGAGCTGGTACTGGCAAAGGCTGTGCGGAAGGCATCACCACCACCAGCATGGTCAGTTTGGACCTGTCACCTCGTGGCTGCAAGCATCTCGGCAGTGAGGCAGAGCAATTGTGTGGTGCCTATGTCTCTGTCCATCCTGCCAGTCTGACCGTAGGTGCTCATGTCATGCTTTCTTCTCAGTGTGCAGTGGGCCATGAGTACATTGCTGATGTTGGGAAGCACTCCTCGCAGACGGATGCAGCCCAGGGCTTTGGGGGGAAGTACGGAGTCCAGCGGGACCGAGCTGACAAGGTGCGTTGGACAGGGCAGCTGAAATATGTACTTGCGGCCTGTGCTCAGTGCTGCCCCTAAAACACTGTGCTACATTTAGGATTGTGGCTGCAGTTTTCAAAGTGCTGGTGGGTGCAGGTCTAGGCATGCCATGCACCATGGTCTCCACTGAAGCACGCAGCTCACCTCCTGTGTGCAGGACAATGATGACAAATTGCAGGGCACTTGTGAAGATTAACTCTCTAGTGTGCATTAATATGCTTGCACTGTCCTATCCAGGCAGCACGGTGTTCATCTTGGGGACTGTGGTGTTTTGCATCTCCAAACCCCCAAGCTGTGCCATGCACAGTGACTGGCCATGGCAGGACTGGCTGGGGACAGCAGGATGCCGTCCCTCCCGTGCACATCCTAGTGTCAGATGCTGCCCAGCCGCCTTGCTTGCTGACAGGGTGTGGAGTCAGGATTGTGGACCTCTTACCTGGAGTGCATGGGCTCTTGCGAGGGCCCGTTCCTGGGCACACTGCCACATGGACAGCAGGGGTGGTGTGAGAGGCTGAGGAGGCCTGTACCAGCTGAGGAGTGGCCAGGCGCCTGCATGTTGCAGCACAAGACAGGGAGCAGGGCCCCAGCCCCACCCCTGGAGGAGGGTGGGTGACATCCGTCTTGGCTCTCAGGACGACTGACATTCCTCCCCTTCTTGTTCCAGTCAGCACTGGGCTTTGAATACAAGGGTGAGGTGGAGAAACACTCATCCCAGAAAGGCAAGTCCATGGGCCCATGTGGCCCCTTGATACTTTTCCCAGCTTCTCTTCTGCTCCCAATATCCTGTGCTGTCTGCTGTGGCACAGTCTCCTTTGTTATCCCCCTCCTGTCACTTGTTTCAGATTTCTGTTCCCAGTCAGTCACCCTTGCAGCCCCATTCCCTGCTGTCCTGTCACCAGCCTTCTGTTGTACATTCCGCTTGTCTCTATGTTTTGCTTTGACGGAAACCACGTCATGGCTGAGCAGAGAAGACACCCCCCACACGCACCCTCAGTGGATGGCTGATGCTCCCTTTCCTCTGAAAGTCCTTCTGAGCAACTGCTCCAGAGGGAACCCAAGCACTGTAGGACGTGAGAAGTGATTTCTGAAAAAGTGGCGTATAAGAAAAGGCACAACAATGGATATGGAAACAAAAGCCTATACAGCACCCAAACTTTTGCGGAATTCTGGAGATGATTCAACCAAACTTTGACATGTACATACAAGCAGCTATATTCATTAAGAACATTGCAAGAACAGAAACTAAAGATATTTTAAATATTCTGCAACCAAGAGAAGATGAGAGGGCAAGGTCTATTACTGTTTCAGATAAGTGTGAGGAATACTGCATTACCAAGAAAAGAATAACTGAATCATGTTCATTTTAGAGGAAACTGTAAAAGAACAAAGATGTTTTGGGGCATTCTTGGTCGATCTTAAATTAATGAATCACACGCGGTTGTTTAACATATATGTTAACATATTCCTGTATAAGAGATTGTATACTAAATTGTAGACGTAGAAATTCATCAGGCTGTGTAAAACCACAGAAATCGCTCAGGATAAAATGAAAATTGTTAGAAATGGGTAAGGTGTTTGGATTGTTTTTCATAAAAATGTGTCCATACTGGAAACTCCAGCATCAAGGTATAAAATCTGTATTTGCTGAAAACAGCATCCTAAAAGGTCCATTTCATAATTCATAAATGGGTAAATGATAGTTTAATCGAGAATCAGGCTGTGTAAAACCACAGAAATCGCTCAGGATAAAATGAAAATGTTAGAAATAGGGTAAGGTGTTTGGATTGTTTTTCATAAAAATGTGTCCATACTGGAAACTCCAGCATCAAGGTGACAGTCATAAAATCTGTATTTGCTGAAAACAGCATCCTAAAAGGTCCATTTCATAATGGCCTAATGGGTAAATGATAGTTTAATCGAGATAAGTTCTAGGACTTACAGATTCATCCTTAAGTGACTGAGCTTCTATGAAACAGAGAGCCATTCTTGAATACAAATGTTTTCATGCATATTTCTCTGGATCACAATCTTCATGGATTGATAAGACTGAATTTGCTGGAGAACCCCCAACTCATTCCTCTGAAATGCAGACCTGTAAGAACAGGGTCAGGGAACAAAGAGAGGTAACTGTGATTTTCTCCTTCTGAAGGGTAGGATTTGGAAACAGAGCTGGCAGACCAGGCCTCTGAAAGTAGAGTGTCTCTATACAGCCAGCAGCTAGGATAGAGGCTGAAATTTCTTAGGACATCAGCCAATAATAACAAGGTAGTCCTTAGAGAATAACTGAACACAGTTGAAGTAGTTAATACACTACTAGTTTAAAAGATGGAAAAAGGGGAAGCGTAAGGAAGATGTGCTGTGCCTCTATCACATAATGGTCAAGCGTGCCAGAGATAGTCTGGGGGGGGAGAGCTGGAGCATGTCTCCAGAAATGTGGATTTCAGCCTTTGCTGCAGCATCCAGAGTCAGTGGTTTCCTTGTAGAAGTTGAGATTCCATTATAGCAAATGTAAGCCATACAACAAAAGTTTGCCCTATCTTCTGTACTTTCAAGGACTCGATATACCTATTCACAGACCTTTTCAGAGACTGGCAGACCACAGGTTGAAATCCCTGCTCTGGAGATGCATGAGTGGATGGATGTCCAGGCTGTCAGTGCCCAAGTCTTGCCTTGGCTTTGTGTCCTTGGGTGGCTGAGCTCCCACTGCCTCCCCAGCTGCCCTTGGCATCTCGCTTTTCTTCCTTGCCCTTTCAGTGTGCTGTGTCTCCTGCTGCCCATGGCCCTCAGGCTCTCTTGCTGCCATGACCCACGCTTGCCCTGTGCACCCATTCCCATGGGCCCTCATCCTCAATGGCCTTCATGGTGCTCCCTGCCATCTACTTTGTCCCCTCCAAACCCCTTGCTTTTTCTAGTGTTTTCCATCATCCCTGCTGCTCTTTCTCCTCCCTGGTGCTCCTTCCCAGTGCTGCTCCCCATCTTTAACCCCTCCCCTCACCAGCCCCGTGCTCGGGACAGCATTTCACTCCATGCACTACCTCAGATTACTCCAAGGGCTTTGGTGGCCGTTACGGTGTGGAGAGGGACAAGGTGGACAAAGTGGCAGTGGGATTCGACTACAAGAGCCAGGCAGAGAAGCATGACTCTCAGAAAGGTGAGCTGGGGGAGCCCAATGCAGCAGGCAGTGTCAGGACTGGAGCTTGGGACTATGCCCACTGGGGCTATGGGGCACTGTGCTTGGTTTTTGCAACCTGCTGCATGAATGGTGGAAAAGCTACGGGGAGCTGTCGGGTGCCCACTGCTTGCGGTAAGGGAATGGGGCAGGTGAGGAAAGCCATTGCATGGTGCATGACTGCTGGAAAAAGTTCAGGCTAAATGAAGAGGAGCAGCAGTTTTCTATGGGCACAGGGATCTCCTGGGCAGTATGTCACCAAAGGAAGGGTGCAGGGAAAGCCCAGGCAGGTGCTAATAGCAGGTGACATGTCGCCAAGGAGGAGGGAGGGCTCTTGCTGCAGCCGCCAGTGGGGAAATCTGGCCTTGCTCCATGTCTTCCTCCAAGTCCTGGGCAGGGAAAACTATTGCCCCTGTGAGAACAGCCTGAGCTCACAGTGCTGCCACTTTTCTCTTTCCCTCCCTTTTCTGTTCTCTTCCATGCCATGATCTGGATCCCTGTGGCTCAAGACTATTCTGTGGGCTTTGGTGGTAAGTTTGGAGTCCAGAGGGATCGTCAGGACAAGAGTGCCCTTGGCTGGGACCATCAGGAGGAAGTGCAACCCCATGCATCCCAAACAGGTAGGGCAATGCTGCCAGAGGTGGCAGCACAATTTCCTTGGAGCACACGCAGACCTCGAGCTAGTGGTTCATACTTGACAGAGGTCCAGCTGCTGAAAACTGAATGTGTACATCATGTTGTGGAGCAGCTGGGACATTGTGAACCCCCAAAGCACAAGGGTAAGCTCTGCCAGAGTAGGCGCATGCTTGGATCAGTGGGGGATGTTGAATGCAAGTCCCTGAATCAGGCTTCCCAGACTATACTGTGCTTTCTCTGTGAGGTACATTCCTGATCATAAGCTCATTCAAAAGGTGAGCACATGGGAATGAGGCAAAGCAGGTTCCAGGAATGGCTTGACTGCTGTATGTTTAACTTCACTGAACAAGGCCACGTTGCACTCAAATGACGTGACTGGCTTCTCACCCCAGTGCCTTGGAAGCAGATTTGCCAGCATACAGTACTGAACACCTGTGCACTTCGCCAAAAGGAATGAAAGAGTAGTCTTAAAAGTTACTGTCCAGAGCATTTTGCATGTATTATCTCTATTTAGTTCCATATGTGTTAAGATGCAGACAAAGCTAACTCATTTCACTGGTCACAGCACACTGAAGTTGGAGGTGCACACAGAATATAAACTATTATAAAATAGCCTCATTTTTTCCATACAGACTATGCCAAGGGGTTTGGAGGCCGTTACGGGGTCCAGAAGGACAGAGTAGATAAGGTAAGACTGCATGCTGCAGCCTGCAATTGCTTCCTGATAATCACTGCTCTTTGCACTGCTGGAAGAGAAGAGACTTCCCAGATGGAGATGAGGTCCCACTGCTCAGTGCACAGCTATTGCAAGGGTGAGGGAACTGACCCAGTGTAAATACCAGAGGGTGCAGAGGAATGCAGCCTGGGGAGACTGTAATGCAAGGAAGAAAAAGTTTTTTCCATTCTCAGCTGCTTTTGAATCATTCCAGTCTCGGAATGAACAGTCATACACCTGCTTTCCCTTGGGGCAAGATTTAACAGCAGAGCCAGTGAAGAGCTTTCTGAGGGCATCAGACTGTGCCCTCCTGGATATCTAGTACCATTTGAGATACTGGGAGTGTTCTGTCTGGCTGCTTGCCATCACTCCTATAGGCCCTGTGTGTACCAATACAGTCAGGATGAGCAGTGATAGCTCCTTGGAGATGAAATTTTGTGAGAGTGCAGCCTTGTGAGAAGTCTGAGAGGCCACAGGCTATTGCACTGTGCAGGAACTGTCTCTTACACAAAAGAGATGCTGGAACAGACTGAAGGCCCATCTGGTGTCATATCCCCAGCACTGACTGGTAGGTGATGATTGTGCAGAGAGCAGTACGCATACAGAGTGGTTCTTGCCCTCCAGCGAGAAGGTGGTATCGCTGTGGCTGCCATTCCTCTAGTTGTTCTTACTCAAGGCATAAGGTTTGTTAGCAGCTGTCACACCCACACATAAACAAGGCTTCCCAGAAGCTGGCTTGAATCTTTGGTCCCTCCAGTAGCCAACTTGCAGAACTCCCTGGTCTCTCCAGTATCTGACGCAGATCTATGGCCTCTCTGGTATCTGGCTCCTTATCCTCTTATACTACTCACCAGCTGGTATTGCTTTGTGTATGAGTGACTGGCCCCATATCACTCCCCCTTAACTACTGGTGAAATCCGGCCATTCCTCATGGCGCTGTCTGTAACTCATCAGCTCCTCTGTTACTTGATATCTTCTGCAGGTTTTTCTGTCCTGTCCAGGAGTTTCTTATGGTCTGTTCAGTTAGCTAAATCTCAGGCCAGGGCCTAGTCATCTGCCTGCAAACCTTAACAAAACTCATCAGGGATAGGATTGGCAGGGATCAACCTTGTATGAGAAGAGGTCATCCAGTTTGCTGGTTCAAGTTTTCTGTCTGGGCTGAAACCAGGCAAAGGCTCATCTACAGTCAAAATGCAGACTGTCTCAGGCATTTGAATTAACATTGTGCTTTGGCACGCTACCCTGCAAGCTTGTTCAGTAAAGGGGGTCTTTCCAGTGGATGATGATCTGCATGGATGCGTATAACCTAAAAGATGAGAATCCTGGATGGTGGTGGGGCTTTGGGGCATTTGGAGGAGGAAGTGAGGGTACTTTCTCTGAACCATACTTTTTCTGTTGTTGGGCACAGTGTTAGTGGCACAGTGTTGTGCCCGATACAGTACCAACATCACCATACTTGGGAACTGGAGGAACCTTTCTGCAGGGCCCTGAGCCAAGGAAGGACATACACGCATATCTGTAACAACCGGGCATGTTCCTTTCCAAGCTGCATGTGTAGGCTGGGCCAGTAGCAGAGTGGGAATGGCATCCTGCTCATTGAAGAGATTAGCATGGTCTATGAATTTAACAAAAGCAAATGGAGGTGCATTGTCAAAAGGCAAGGCATCATGTATGTGGCAGAAAAAAACCATGCAAAACCAGATGAGCATTTGTGCAAAAGTCAGGGCTGTGGGTCATCTGAGGAGCGGGATGCAGAGAGGGGATAAGCAGTTCTTGATCAGGTCGAAGTGGAACGTGAATTTGTGCATTTTGAGAATATTGAAGCATAATCAAAGATGGTAAAAATAAGGATATTTGGGCAACTACCTAAGTTCTTGATTGCCTAGTTTTCAAGCACTGGAGTAGTGCTGAATTCATTGCTCCGGAGTATAGCATAATATACCACCAGGCAATCTTAATTCCCCTTTATAAAGTTTTGAACACTAAGTGTAGGATTCACCTCTCACATTAAGACTGCTAAATTTAAATGCTGTCATATAAACAACATGTCCAAGTCTCTGCTGTGGTCTGTGTAGACCTGGTTCTGAGCTTGCAGTGCTGTTTGTCTGCTCAGGTGTGTTTTCTTTAAGGAGAGCAGAGCTGCTCTCTAGGCTCCACTGACTGTAGTTAGGAACTCGGCCACCCAGCCCATTGGTGACACCTGCAGGTAGAACCCTAAATGTATCTGTATTAGTCTGAAAGCTGGATCCTACCTGCAGTTTCTTTTTTGTATGAAATTGTTTTCTCATGAAAGTAAATAAACCCCCTCTACCTCACTTTCTTTTTGCTGCAAACACCTCATCGATGCTATTACCAGTTTAGCCATCTCTTCACACCTCATAAAGCCAGCGATATCTCAGATGTTCACACATGTTTTCACTTTGATGTTTTCCAGCCTATGCTACTGTATACACATACTGCAGGCAACGACCTGCTGAAGGGACATGTGTTTTTCACGGTTAGGCAGCTGCAGCTGTGCATCCAATAGAGAAGTGCTTCCATGCCTCATACCACTGGGAGAGCAGGGGACGGATGTATCGGGTCCCTGGACCTCAGGAACTGGTAGACTGCCAGGCATCCACTCAGCTCTTTGCCGTGTTACCAGTGAGCACTTCTGCCTTGAATGCCCAGCCTTGCTGTCCCATGCAGCAGTCGTCTTGCCACTGTGCTGCCTCTTCCACTTGGCTCCATGTAGCCTTTTCAGCTCTGGGAGCACCACCCTTCTAACAGGAACAGCCCTTGACTTTGGCTGGAGAGCAGCAGGCACCCCCACAGCACAGGGAGGCATCAGGAGAGCAGGGCTGCAGCCAGCAGCCTCCACAGGGCTGTGGCAGTTGTACAGATAAGGACAGACACAGCTGGGAAGAAAGCTTGCAGTCACCAATAGCCAAACGCAGCAGGGGATCTCAGAACTGGCCTTGCCTAACAAGCTGGACACTTCAGGCTGGTGGGGGGTCTGGAGCTGGAGCAGTCTGGAGAACAAGTCTTATGAGGAGCGGCTGAGGGAACTGGGGTTGTTTAGCCTGCAGAAAAGGAGGCTGAGGGGAGACCTCATCGCTCTCTACAACTACCTGAAAGGAGGTTGTAGCGAGGTGGGTGTCGGTCTCTTCTCCCAAGTAACAAG